TGGTTGTTGTTGTTGTTGTTGGTTGTTGGTTGTTGTTGTTGTTGTTGTTGTTGTTGTTGTTGTTGTGTGGTTTGTTGTTTGTTGTTTTGTTGTTTGTTGTTTGTTGTTTGTTGTTTGTTGTTTGTTGTTTGCTGTTGCTTGCTGTTGCTGTTGCTGTTGCTGTTGCTGTTGCTGTTGCTGTTGCTGTTGCTGTTGCTGTTGCTGTTGCTGTTGCTGTTGTTGTTGTTGTTGTTGTTGTTGTTGTTGTTGTTGTTGTTGTTGTTGTTGATTTTGATATTGATTTTGAAGTTGATGTTGATGTTGATGTTGATGTTGCGTGCGCATATGTTCTGTTTTGTGTGCCTTTTTGTATCTTGGGCGTTTGATGGCAGTCTCAAGGCATTGTTCCACCTTCATCAGCCAGCAAGCATGCTTTCGGCGCAAGTGCAAGCATGCAAATGCAGTGAACATGTGTGGTATGTTTGTGACCACGTGGCAGCTCATATTATCAGTCCTGCAAGAGTTCGTGAAATGGCGTTTGATTTTGGCTGTTCACTTCATGTGTCTTGGTTGTTGGAGTGGTTGGGGAGGGCGACGTGTTGTGATTGGAAAAGCATCTATGCAAGTCTTGTAAGTATTCTAAACTAAATGCCATTGCCTTGTGTCGTGCAAAAAAAACAGCTGATGCATTAAGGAAGCTTTGTGAATTATGAAGAACTCCCCGTTAGCAATCCCCTGCCAAGGCTACTGAGCAAAGTGGGGAGCTTTGAACTAGCTCATGTGACATTCGTGTTGTGTTTTTGTGTGGCAGCACTGGCGGCTTGTGGTATTGGCGGCTTTTTGCTGGCTTTTGACGGCTTGAAATAGGTTCAATTTTCATTTTCACAGTAGATCCTTCTACGTTGTTCTGTAAAGCGCTGATCTCAAACATTGGTGAGGCTTACCGATCGCCGATGCAGCTCAAAGCGTGCTGGTGATGTTTGTTGGGCAATGATTTGGGGTCTTCGAAGCTGGGCGGACACAGCACCCGCCAGTGAGCTTTGAGCCGCTGCCAGGTGCATGAGATGACAGGGAGAGGAGGGCGACTTGGCCCTTTTGGCAACTTGTGGCATTGAATGGTTCGTTTCCGCAAGGCGGGATTTGCCTTCGCCTTTTCCAGGGACCAGAAGACTGCCCAGTAGCCATCCAAACGGTAAAAGGAATCACTATATCATTCATGTGCTGAAAGGTTTGGACTACATGTTCAAGTATGCTTTCATTTGTACTGCCCAGTTGAGGTTTTTGAGCTGAAGCTGGCGTACAGCCGTACAGCACTTGTATTGAAAGTTGTGATTGGAAGCGGCAGTTGCTTTTTCTTGGGGGAGCAAGCGTGCTTGAACAGAGCAAGCCAAAGCCAACAATTGCCAGCACGTACTCGTACCGTACCCCCCATCCATGTTTGAGTCTATTCCAAATCCCTCAAACAGGAGTTTTCAGCCGGATCATTAAACAGCAGGCCCATCCAGCACTCCCCTCAGGTATGACCGCGCAGGCAAAGCACCTGCAGCGCCCCAGGACAGGGTGCTTCAAGGGATTTGGACAACAAACAGAGATAAGAAGGAAATGAAAAAAGGTGATTTGGAGAAGTCTGATGTGCTTCTCAGAAGGGCCCTAGAAAATGTGTGTATGTGTGTATAGCTTATAGCTCTACTTCGTTGCTCACACACACATACACCCGGCACGTATCTGCTCACGCCCGAGCCTGCCATGCACCTCACGTTCTTTCGCCCAACAGCTCTGAACGCTTGCAAGACCCAGCCTGAGAGTTGAACCTGCAAATAGCTTAGCTCGGGCTAGGCTTGCCGAAAGCAGACTTAAATCTGAATTTGATCGGATTTGCGCGAATCCAAATTTGGTGGAGACCCTCCAAACCGAGCTGTGGAAGCCTCATTGGACGGCAGCACCTTACCCCATGTCCCTAGTCAGACGACTCAAACTTCAGGCCCGCCCTCGACCCCAGAGCCATACAAAACAGCCAGGTTCCTTTGTCGGCCGTATGTACCATGAGGATCTTGAAAAACGAATGGCCACAGCGGGCAAGTTTCATGGCCCCACAGAAGTCACACATGCAACAGTGCCTCGCCATGCTAGATTCATATTGATGCGAGGCAGGCAAGCCTAGTCCAAGAGTTGACGACAACTTGTTCTCTTTGAAGACTAGGCTCCACGGAATGGCCGAACAGCCAACAGGACGCTCACAACCCACACCTGGGAAAGGATGCACTCGGCACTCTTCAGGAGGAGATCCTGACTGAGTTGCGCTTGCGGCCAGAGCTCGTCAGCAAGTGGAAGTACCCCCGGCGCACCGCCCGGCAGCCAAGGATCCATCCCCCCCCCAAAAAAAAAAGGAATCAAAGAGAAGAACAACACAAATATCAACTTAATCATGATCACTAGTTTGACAAATCCCCGACTGAACTGACTGTACCATGGAATGCATATGTACACGCACTCCTTCCGCATCTCGAGATCGTAGTTTGTGAAGCTTGAGCAGTTGTCATTTGAGCCGCTTGTTGCTCTCTGAGCAGTGCAGCCCATGAGGCCGTGAAGAAGACAGCTGCCGCTGACGCACATCCACCTCCCTTGGAGGGGGGATTGAAGGTCGGGTAGCTCGCAGGTTGTTGCTGGGATGAGTTGCCAGAATGTGCTGCAATTGGGAGGGCTGCTCCAAGCGGATGTGTACCTAGCAATTTTCCTTTTGAATGCATTCCCAAAGGCTGGCCAGACAGCCAACTTGGAGGGAACAAATACCCTGGTTGGAGGCCCTTGAAATCAGCGCTGAAGCAGTTTGAGCATTTGTATTGTCATAGCCACAATGGTAAACTCCAATGCCTCTCTGGCGGCTGTGTAACCTCACGTGGGGTCTGCGGCGAAGCCAAAGCGAGGTGGTCCGCCACGGCGGTGTGGAGTTCCTCAACAACTTCGACAGCGCCAACGGCGAAGTCTTCCCCCATGACGGCGCGTGGGTCGGGCCGGAAATGGCCAACGGGGACGCAAGAAAGAGCAGGAAGCCCATGGGGATGGGCAATGCAGCAACATGTTTGGCACAGAAAAGTGTGAAGACCAGCTGCAGGTAACCACTGCAAGCATCCTGGGCACGAGTGCGGAGCCAGAGTTGTAAGCTAATTGTGGCGGTTCAGACCTTTGGCAAGTCGGTGTTTGTAGACATGTCATTCGTTTTTGCCCAAACAGGAATGCGCGTTGTGCGGCATCGTTCTTGTTGATCCTTACGGCCTTGTGGCATGCAGCACTCCTCTTTTCTGGCTCCGAACACTAAGTTCCTACCCTCTTTTCCGCAGAAAACAAGCTGAGCTGAAGTGATAGGTCAGTTGGCAAGAAGCCGCTCGCCCAAACCAACGACTGATCTACAAACTGTGATCATTGCTTTCCACCTGAAGAAACATCGCCCTTCTTCAGCTTCGCAACGATATGAGGCGCTGATCCTCGTTTTCTTTCAAGTCAACTTTGCCGCAAGATGTGCCGAGCTTGTGCTTGTGTCCGACCTGTGCCAGGCCCCCCCGATGTGGTAAAGCGATTCCACATCTTGCTCAAAGCAGATCCGTCAGATGGTGACTCGTCCGCAAAATTTGCAGAGCCCGGATACTGTCAACGCATAAATTGCCTCACAGTGACAGCACAGGCCAAAAGAATCGCTACCATGCCTCAGGAGTTCACGGATTGTTCATGATAGTTCGGGCCGGAGGCAGCAATCAGAATGCTAGGGCGTTGCCAGCTGAAATTATCAGAGATCTGCAGATGGTGCACACGTTTTTGCGGGCCCGACCCAACGCTGATGGGGGTCACTAAGCAACAACCAATAGTGCCAAGCTTGGCAAAATGTGCACCGCACGTCGCCGCGGAACGCCGCATTGTTCAGCCTCCGTCCATTGTTTCTGCGCCATGTAATTTTTCGACATGTTTTCCATAACATATCCTTGCTGCTGGGGTCGGATTCTGTGAGATCCATGGATGCATGAGCTGCTAAGTCAAGGGCAATGTCTGGCTGCTCGAGGACATCGGATTTTGTTAAGTTGGCAAATAGCGTGGACACCAGTTCGCTACATGAGGTTTCACTTGCCTTTTCCGACCTGTATCCCACATTCAAGAGAGATTGTTCAAGAGAAAATCAGGTAGTGATCATTAATCTTCGACAGTGCTAGCTGTTACTTTGCTTGCAAGGATAAACTGTGATTGTGTTTGCACAGCCATGTTTGGATCCAGATTGCTGTAACGGGATTGCACCCAGCAGTTGTGGGGTATTAAAAAAACTGGACACATGTCAAGCACATTGCTGATGATCGTCTAGGGTTCCCGAGCTCATTTTCCCAGTTTGCTTTGGCCGATCTCTCAAGTCCATCCACCAATACTAGTACCAACGGCATGCATGTTGCGATGGCAGACAAGCACGAGGCTCTAATCCAAGTGCAGGTAGGCCACTTCATGCTGGGCCGAGCAAGCACTTTGTTGCTAAGCCTTCCAATGCAACAGTGCCTCCACAAAAACGGCTGGTCTGAGGCAACCGTAGCTGAGATTCGTAAGAAACAGCCATACAAAGTGACATATTGCAGGACTCGGACAGTGCCTGCTGGCCTGGCTTGGGAGTAGGGAGTTCAACAGAACGATCAATATTCTTTCCCAAATGCTGCTGTAAAGTGGATGAAAATGTATGATGGCCATTTTTCTGCTTCGCAGTTCACAGAGACAAGCCATGCCTCCGGTTTTGCCAAGATCCTGCATTTTGGACTCTTTCTCGTGCTAGGCACGGAGTCCACGGGCCGGCGCCGGTGGTTCCACTTTGGCGTCCGCTGCGTGGGCAAGGAGCCGGTGCGCGCGCGCTTTGTGGCCGGGGAGCCAAGAGCCGGGCGGGAGCCAGGGTTTGACTGTCCCAAGTTGTCTTAAACCCATGGAATTGGTTGCCTTCTCATGAAATGAACCACCCCTGAGTATTTGCGTTTGCCTTGGGAGTGGGCAAAAATTGGAACCCTGTCAGGAGTTGTTCCGTTTTCAGCGTTTTGGCGTGAAGCAGGATCGGCTCACCTGGGCAGTGCCCAAGATGCGGGCTCACGCCACTCATGTTAGTTGCGTGAGGGTGGTGTGGGCTCTTCGATTGGGTGGAACAATGTGGATCCTGCAATACACATTATTATAATATGAATATGTATGCATATACAGTGATGGAGAACCACTCAACCAACCCTGCGAGGGGGCCTGTTCCATTCAACCTTGTTCTTTCGCCCATCATCTCCCAAGCAGAGAGTTCAGCGAATCACACTGATCTTGACTATATGATAACACCCATGACCCTCTCGTGGGGTTGGCACCGAAAACAACATTGAACGGGGATCAAGCATCCATTTGGTTGTTTGATGTGGTGTTGCTTGTTATTGTTTTTTTTCCCCGGATTTGTGTTGGCCAAGCTGCCGATGTTTTGTGTTTGAGTACAGCAAGGTGGATGTGGTCTAAGATCTGTACGGCTGAGGTTTCAGCTGATAGGTGCTTGCACCTGAATTTAGAATTCATGCGCTCTGGAAGACGCAAATGTCCGATTTTCGAAAAGACATAGGCAGGAGCGTATACAGTGTCCATTGCCGCATAAGACATACTTGGTCATTCAAACGGGAAAGCCGCAGAGTATGCTTGCAATGTGAAGGTTAAGCTTGCATTGCCCAGAATATGAAGTGAAATGAGCCTCATGGCTGAAACATGACCCGATGATCCTATTTATTGCCTTGTACAGTCGGAGCTTTTTGGTGAGACACATTTGATTTGTTTTGTTAAGCATACGGCAGCGCTTTGCTTTGATGCCACCAGGACTGAGTCAACAAACCAGACTCATGAACCCAGCTCTCCTTGCAGCGCCTTAGCCAGAAAACCTGACCGCTCGTCCCGGAACACTAGTGTTCCATTTGGATTTGGGTCAAGCCAGGTTAAGTAGGCCGAAGTCATCCGAAGTCATTTCATGGCAGAGCACAATTGTGTTGCCTTCTCACCTTGGGAATGGGCATTTCTGCCATCAGGATTATTAGGAAGCAAGAAGCCCTTGTGAAGAACGACACAGGTTGACACCGTGACTCATTCCTGCCCTCTGAGGTGAACAACTTGAGTCGCTGATCCGCACTGGGGGCTTCTTTCAGAAAAAGTTTTTTCCCCCAGCCGATTCAACAGTTTTCTGCAAGAGGCTGCGCGCTTGCACTTTGTGAGCCGTTTCAAAAGCTGTGGGTATCTTGAATCCTTGCCATTCTGAGTCGAGTACTGAGCTCGGACTAGGTTTTGCTTTTCACATGCTTTTGCTCTCATTTGCTGAGGCATTTGTTTTCGAGGCAAGTTCCTCCAGTGCCCTTTGCAGCCGCCGCTTTTGACCGGCTGGGTATCTCCGGCAAAATAGGACCCCCCCCCCAAGCAAAAAATGGCGGCTTTCATTTGGTTCTCCATTTTGTCTAAAGTACCCTGAAACTGGTTCCCTCTGAAAAAGAAATCGACACTTGGAGGCAACATGTTGGACCTCTACAACCTGGACGGTCACCGGCCCTTCTTCCTGCAGGTCCCCAGCGCTGCAGGGTGGCGCCGCCTGACGGAGGCCAACTTCGCCTGCCACGAGGCGAACTCCGACTCGTGGCGACCGCTACCTTTGGGGGGGCAACCCTCAGCCAACCCTTCACCAACCCTTCACCAACCCTTCAACCCCCGCAACTCCACGGTACTGTATCATGACCAGGGAGAGGGGGGAATCTGGAACTTGAAACATGTGCGACCTGCTTGGGTGCTGAATAAGTCATACGTTGTTATTGCCCCAGAAAAGAAGAGCAAGGGGATGGGTAATAATTTGTCCAGACCTGCTTTTTAATATCCGGCTATGGTCATAGATTGGAAATGGGACAACTGGGATGAGTTCCCCTATGACAGTGGTCAGAGTCGAGTTTGACAAGCTTCATATATACCTACTTGGTCCTTCAAGTGCAAATCTGTTCTACCAAATACGCAGCGATCGGTGGCCCGAGAAGGTCTAACCTTAAAGCAAGACGTGGGAAGTGTGAGTGCTTTTGTTGGCCTTCGGTTCCACGATGTCATGTCCCATTTTGTCTCCCTCCGTGACCAGCATGTTTACTGCAACCCATATCCGTCTCCTCATTCCACACACGTTGCTCCATGTCCTTCAGTCTGAGCTTGGGCACGTCTTGACCGCCAGGCTTGTTCCATAGTTGTCCTCGCCTGCTTGATCATAAGAGTAGTACGGTGACAGTTTGCAGAAGCCATTTCAAATGAACGAAAGCAACAAAGTCAGAGAGTAATGATATGCTTGGGAATTCATTCTGTTGTACACGCACATGTTTGAAGTCGATTGTACTTGTAAGCAGAGATGATGCAGGAAACTCAAGCATCGTATATTTTGGCAGGCGAGTTTGTGGGTCACATCCCTGGGAAGTTCTCCTGCTAGCTTCCTCCTGCAGTTTATATTCGGAGCTGAGTGCGGCTCAGGAGGTCTTGGAGGACAAACAGGTCCGATGCTCAGAGGTTCGCAGTAGGTTTAGCTGAGCATTGGCCTCTCCTAATGCGTGCAATTTCTTAGGTCACGATGGTGATGACGATTGTTCAACACAATATGAGACATGTGATACCCACTGCAGAGGATCTCTTCAACACCTTGTGTCACGGAGGGGTAGCGAAACTAGGAAACTAGGCAAAGGTTTGCGAAAAGCAAGGTTGCCATGCCATCTTCCAAACATTCATGAAGAGTCGTGGTGAGTCTTGTTCGATCCAGGTGCTTTGCACACTTGCATGTATCGCGCATTACAACAGGAACAACCTCTAAACATCATGGTGCTCGAATTGCTGGAACATTGATTGTATACTCCCTGGCGTGCTCGCCAAGGACGAGGTGAAGAAAGCCTCTCGTGTCAAGGACGAGATCCTGCTGCCAAGGGTGCGGCAATTATTGGAAGGTGAGAAGAAGAGGATGCCTGACTTATGTTTGACACACTGGGTCAATGGGTTGACGACTATTCAACCAATCGCACCCAAACCTGAGTTCTTTTGGTTGGACATGGATACGGTATACTGGGTCATGGACATGTTATTCGAATGTTCTTGCGCATTTCAGTTGCCCAGCTCTGCCTTTGCATACGTTATATTTGAACGTGTTTGACGATTCGTCCATGCACATTGCGAGCTACGACCTAAACCTGTCATATAGCAGAGGCCAAGGGCACATGCAGAAAGCTCGAGTAGCAGACTTTGCCGTTGGCGGAATACTCGGAAAATGCTTTCCTGGATACCTTGGTTGCATCAGACACCAATGACTGTCAGCTACAACATCCTGAATGGGCTTTGTGGTAGCATGTTTTGATATGCTTTGACAACGTTCTGACACTTGGGCCAGCAGAATATATGTATATATATATATATATATGTATGAATATATATATATATATATGTATCTATATATATACTCATCTCATGTACAGCCTTCTGAGCCAATTCATCCTGTTGCTCTGAAAATCGAGCTGGGTCCTTCCCAAGAGTCTGAAGACACAGAAGACGCCAGTGTTTTGTTTGTTTCCCAGCAACATCTGCAAGGATAGCATATGTTGCGAAGTCGTTGCGGCAAGGACACGCAAACAAGTCAATGCTGAGGCAGGCAATGTCACCCATAGTTCGGCATCAGTCTCACCAAGAAAGGAGCTTCAGTTTCCGAGGGTGTGCAATGAGCAATACAGCCGTATCAGAATAGCATGAAGGCAACAAGGGTGCTTCCATGCGAGATGCAGTTATATGACTTGAATTTGGGTCTAACAAGGCCCAGAGTGCGTGGCCTTCCCTTTTATTCTCATGGCATTGGCGCAGCGCCAAGGAAGAGTTGCTACATCGCTTGGGATTTCCAGCTTGACCACGGGGTGACCACCTACTTCGCCTTTTCACCACCGCAGCTTGGCTACCGAACTTCCGGTGTTGGTAACATGCGTGGCCGGACGGGACGAGGGACTGCTTGTTGTGACATGTTGTGACTGGAGCTGTCAGACCTCACTTGATGGTGACGGAGTTTGGTTGTTTTCTCTCGTGTACGCTGTCTGCTCGACTGTTCGATTTCATTCAGCAAGTTTTGCCGGAGGTCCGCGTAATTTGGATGGACAGTTCTTCCCGAATTTCAATGCACTTTCGACGCAAGATCAGATGAAGGCGAAGCTGAAGGCGATTTGATCAATTTGTTCGGTGATGAATCAAGAGTGATCAGCATCACGTGAGCCAACGCTCCGCACAAGCTATTCTTACATTTCGCACTACGCATACAAGTCTAGGACAAAGTGCACCTTTCTTTGTGAACTTCCACAACAATGGGTAGCACCCTTTGGTGCAGCTTCCGTCAGGTTCAACTACTGCAGCATGCAGAGCTACCTGCGCCGCTTGGAGGACTTCTTCCGCGGTTCGCCCAGGGGCCAGCCGCTGCCGGCGTACATGGCGGCCATCGAGGCCCACGGTGGAGGCAGCGGCACGCGCCACGGGAGCCGCGGCGGCAAGCCGCAGGCGCCGTTTGTGAAGGTCACGGTGGAGCATGGCGGGGAAGCCAAGAAGATGTACGTCTGGGTGAGATGCTTGGGCCGCAATTCGCTTAACATTGGCTTTGACCTTGTGCAAAGTCAAAACAACCCTGTGAACAGCGGATGGTTGGATGTTTCCTTTGGTGTGTAGGGGCTGAGTCTCACCTTAGGTGCTTTTGGATTGTTTTCGAGATGTTTCGAGGCCGACAGGTATCCCGGAGGTTCTTTGCTCTATGGGCAGTCAGCTGAGCAAGGTTCTACACGGTCTATCCATGCCAATAGATTGATTCTATTTGATTCTGCTTTATCCCGCAGCTAGAATTGCTGCATGGGTCAGCGTTCAACGTCGGAACTCAGGAAAGGACGCGACGATGCTCCAGGTGCGACAAGCAGTGGCAGAAGCATTGAAGGTCAAGCGGACGTCTCAGGCGCCAGCCGAGCGCATTCCAGGAGTCCCGTTGCCTGTTCCCTTTGACGGACTGAGGTTGCCCAAGAGCACTGGGGGCAAATGCTGTTTTGTCTGGCAGTGGCATTTCCACCCTGCGCAAAGGTGCCGAGCACCCATGAATCTATGCAGAGTAAAGTTGATTCGAAGGCGCAGATATCACACGGTCCGTGTGCAGCTGAAGCAGGCTGAAAGATTCACACTTGAAGACGAGCATGGGCAATGTGTTTCTTGGTGGTCAATACACATACGTTCTCGTTTCGTGATGATCACATGGCTGCCGGATAGGTAGCTCCGCTGTCCTGTGATGAAGATTGACTAAATCAGAAATGTTCTAGCAAACAGCACCACAACGATTATGTATGTACTTGTGTACAAGTGCATACAAGTATGCACGTACACGACATTCTTTTCTTGCATAGCCCTAGAGCACGCTGTGACAATGCCAGATGGTACTCGTTCTGTTGCTTGAAGTTGGTGCTTGCTGCTCTTGCCGGCCAATATGTTCTGTACATATCAGGTTGTCACAACTGCCTGCTGTTTACCTGTGAAGTTGTTGCCCCGGAAGCGCCTGAAGCGCTGTCCATCGCCACCCTCCGGAGGTGAAGTTGGTGAAGCGCCTGGGCTCCGACCGCCTCATGACCTCCGTGCCTGACTCGGAGCGTCTGAGCCAGAAGTGCCGCTCGTTTGGCCACGCGGGTGGGAGACGGCAGCTGATCCGCTTGCCTTGACAGTTGTTGAGGTAGCGAGGAGGCAATCGCCGGTTCTGGTCTACACTTCAGACATATACATATATAGGTATGTTCACGTTCCGGCAAATATTTGAAATGTCAATGCTTCCTTTCACAGCGGGCAATTGCCCACTATGTCGTGCTAGCTACGATAGACTTGGCCTACACTTCACTGAGATAGACAAGGCATATGATGGGTCCAGGTGGCATGATTTGTTCATCAGAGTTTTGCTACCTACGACAAACATGCTCGGCTTCTGTCTACAACTCAAAGCAAAGGTGAATCGAGAGCTTCTTTGCTATTCTGGCTTTGCAGGGTGCAAATCAAATCGTGACCACTATCAACCACAGCCACGCCACTCAAGTTCCGGGCTGCATTTGGCAGCCTTAAGGGCATTCCATAGCATTCCCAGGTCGTTTTGCAGACTCCTTACAGGCGTTCCATTGGGTCGGACGGGTCAAAACCCGAGGCCACGTGCTGATGGTGGGCACCGACTTCCCGGATGGCCTCACAGCCAAGCGCCCGGAGGAGCCAAAGGAGCTGCCGGAGCCGCTGGAGCCGCTGCCCGAGCCGCCGGAGCCGCTTGGCGGCGTCCGAAAAGCAGAGGGGTCCTCGAATTCTTGTTATTTTCTTGGGAGGTCACCACAGGTACCCTTCAGGACGCAGCGTGTGCAAAGAGGGTTTGCGAAATGTTGGTTATTCAATTGGTGTGCTGGGTAGTGGTTCACGTGATGCCTGAGCGAGCACAGGCAAGTGCGCCTCCTGATTTATCAGCTAGGAAATGACCGGGCAGGATGATCACCTACTGTCACAGGCTCACATGGACGGTAAAAATCGCTGTCAAAGGGCCGTAATTTGTGGTGATTAGGTCAAATGGCAATGCTTGCCATGGTCACACTCGAAATAGTTAAGGGTGGCTTCAATTGAAGACTGTTTATTATGAAGCTCCCTGGGCTACTTAAGAATGGCATCCTGGAACGAACATTCACCAACTCAGCCTCAAACCAGGGGATCACAATAATGAAAGCTGCGGTATTCTCAAATGAAGGTTTGGTTTGCTTCGGGGGAGTGTTATTGTTAGGCAATGACTCATTTGCGTGTATCATGCGAACTCCGGGCAAAGAAACGTATCCGCCAGGACACGATCCCTTTCTATTCTCTTGCATATCTTTTGCCAGAGCTTCTTAACCCGTGGTCTGTAAGGCCGGGTATCTCTCATATCTCGCGGGCTGGGAGCCGCCCCAAAGTGGGTGGTTTTTACTTTGGCAACCTCGCGGCCTTGCCAAGGCTCACGTCCGAGCCCTGGGAGCCGCTTTGCGGGGAGGATGTTTACTTCCACCGCGAGCGACTCTGCCTTACAAAGGCAGGAGCGCCAAACTGACCGGGCGAAGCGCCAGTTTAGCCACCAAACTGGCAATGTGGGAAAGGCTGGCTATGAAGTTGAAGGAGGAACCCTCCCAAATGGCTTGGCGGATATAAACCCCCGCACAATGATGTCCACCAGAGGGCCCAGAATTTAGAACCATTCACTTTCAAGACAACCAGTCGCTGCCCAACAACCAGGGAACATTCATGATTTTCTCAAGGGCTGTTGATATCCAGTTTTGTGGCAACCCTCAAGCTGCAGGAAACTATGTCTCATTGACTGGTTTCTTATGCCAGAGCCGGCCATGAGACAGTCAGATTGCAATGTTTGGAGCCAATCATCACCATGCTCTCATTTTTCCATACTATCCGTTGAAGCTGCGCATTCGCTCTTTCATTGCGCCCGCCGTGCTGGATGTTGGGTGTTTCGTCGTGTTACCATTGGACCACTGGAAGCTTCCAGTCGGCCAGGAGGGCCGTCGTGTGGAGCTCTTGACTGTGAGCGCCGGCGGCAGCCCGCCGGGATCACTGGAGACGCCGCCCGCAGGCGAACCGCGGAACCCCGGAGACATGGGCTTGTGTTTTGAAGCCCAAGGGTGCCCTCAAATCAAAAGGAGACACCAGATGTTGTTGCATTTGGGCTTTGGGCAACCTGAAGGACAGATCTTTACATTTTCAGCTTGGAGTGCCATTTTTGCATTGCGCCATATGAACAGTTTATCAGCGGCCGGCCAAGCTTAGAAAGGAGCAAAAGACTTGGTTCGCACTCCCCGTTGCGCACACGTTCCAACATGCCGCTTGGTGTATCGATTGAGGTCACTTAGATTCCGAACATCTCATACTCAATCAGGTTTGATTATGTCAGAGTTGTGTTTGCTGGCCGAACCCATACAGCGGCACCTTTCGTGTTTCCCTTCCACCCCCCCTGGTTAGCTGGGCCGTTTGGGGGATGTCATCAAGAACGTGCTATAAGAACGCGTGAGTCAAGCTTCCACGGTCACAATTGGTAAAGTAGGTGAAGAAGTAGTTCCAGGTGAAGACATTTCTCATACCCGGTGACATCGTTTCATTTGAGAATGCAATTGGCTTTGTTTTATGTTGTTGTGATTATAGGTCTTTGGTGTTTAGACACCACTCTGGTACTTCGGTCTTTAGACGGTACTCTAGTGTTTATTTAATTACGCCATTGTTTTACGTCATGTGACCCCGGTGGATGTTATTGACCTTGACTGTTGGACAATACTATGTGTGGCACTTGCTGCCGAATTCGCCTACTCACGCTAGGGTGCATTGAAATTCACACCCATGACAAACCTAACATAGCCTTTATGGTAGAAACAAAAGTCCATGGGTTTTGGGTGCCGTGCTGCCACGCTGCTCACATGCCATCGTGACTAGCGACAAACTGGCTGCAGCCTTCCTCACCGCTTCCGTGGCGGTGGACGGGGACTCCCCGGCGGCGGTCTTCGCGGATCGCCCGGTGGCGTTTATCTCGGCGCGGGTGCATCCGGGGGAGACCCCAGGCTCGGTTTGGGGGTCGGGCAATCTGAACATGTTCGAAACCGTGTGGTAATTGAGGGAGAAGGTGAGGAGGGACGCACCTCTGGAATGAGCAGGCTAGCCCTGCAGTATGGAATGCGAATGACGGCAGCAGGTCCGCATCGTTCCTCAAAGGTTTGTTATCATGTTTGTTTCGTGCAAATCTGCCGAGCACGCAGCCCATGAGGCCAGTTTGCCTTCTTGGGGATGCTTCGTTTTCTCCTCAGCGACGACGCTCGAGCGGCGTTGCTGCGCCAGCAGTTTGTTTTTAAGCTGGTGCCCATGCTGAACCCGGACGGCGTGGCCAGGCGCGCAGCCACGCATGTTTCTTTAGAATTGTGTAAAATGGACAAGTGCATTGCAGCAGTGAGTTGTTTTGTCGTTCTACACCGACCCCATGATGGACCTGGTTGAGGATTGGACGCCAAGGACGATGAGTGAAGTGTTCAGTTGAAAGATGTGATTCCTTGTAAATGGAAACGTATTACGATATCAGCAGCAGGGAGAGCATCAGTGTTACTAACAGCATAGTGTGTTGTAGCTGGCATACTGTTGCGTTCTTAGCTATATGTTGATGGTGTTATTCTGAGCCTTTGTTTTCCGGACAAACAATTTGTCCTACAGATCAGCCGCAGTTATCATTACTTGTAGGTATCAGCCATGAGCACAAAGGAGTTGGAGGCAGCAAACCAGTTCGTCCAGGAATCTTGCGCCTCCGTTTTGTATCCTTGGGCACTGGGCACACAGATGCTGCAAGTTCAGCTGTTGGAGTACACCCACAGTTCGGGGGCCGGCTTGTTCCACATCTAGCCGGCCCAACCCTTTGTTCCTGGTGGCTTGGAGAGCTGCTTCAGCTTGTTTCCCACGCCTTGTTTCTTGAGGCCAGCAAGGCCTTGTTATGAGTCGGCATTGACAGGCTTAGTGAATTCCAGAGACCTTGCCTGCCTATTTTGCAGCCACACGATGCACAAGCGCAGGGGCCACACGCGGGCCAATGTCTGCGGACTGGATCTCAATCGATGCTACAGCGATGCCAATCCCACGGAGCACGAAGGACGGGAACTCTGGGACAGGGAAGGAATTTGGGCCTGTGAGTCAAATGATGATCCAAATGGTCTGACTCGGAAGGATTTGTCCGTTGGGTACGGGGAGTCGGTGTTTGACTTTGTCGCTGCTTGAACCAATACAGCTGGTCTACAATTTGAAAGACTTGCGCTCGAAGTTTGTCCTCGAACTTGGTTATGAGTTATAGTAGCACTGCGTTACACGCGAGGGAAGCCAACGTGTCCTCGCCTGCCTGCCAACAGAGTTCCTTTCAAAGGCTTGCCCCGGAGACTTGCTGTTCGCGCGCCTTTGCAGCTCTTTTTTTTTGCAATGTTTGGGTGTACTTTGATGTTCTTTTCTCACCAGCAAAAGGAAGCTTTTTGCAGGGGTTCAGTTTGGCCAAGTAGGTCTCATGACCGACAGTGTCTAGCTTGAAGCGCTTGCGTCAAAGGTCAGGGGGCGGTTTTGTCACATTCGAGAAGGATATGTGAAACATGAGTTGATAGGCCAGGGTTGTTTTGCTTCTTCCTTTCGGACAATTTGAGGTTGGGATTTGATAACTTTCATGCGGGAGTTCACATACCCAGCCCAGCTGTTTGTGGGAGTTGCCTGGCATGGAGAAATCCCCCAAGAATCCTGCATTTGGAGCGCACCAATCTAACAGTGGTTTGGGCCACTCCTGTTTCCCGGCTGAGTTGTTCTGAGCGCAGCTTGCCACATTGCTGTGATGGCGTGATTAGTCTGGTCATGAGCCAGGAATCAGGTTTGCCATCCCACAGGCTGATCAGGGTTGGGCTCCAGGTTGGAGTGGCTTCAGGCGGCGCCAACAGGTGTTTGCTTTTTTGCACACACTTGATGGCCCGTGCCACATTTAGCTCGTTTTATTCCCGTTGAATCTTGCTTTTGTGTACATTACCTAGTAAGATGTTCCCTAAGAGTCCTCATCATTTCGACTAGATACCGAATAGCCAATGCAAGTCAGGTGGACGTGTGAAAGCGCCGAGCTTTACACCATGGAGTGCCTTGTTGCTGTAATATGAACGTTGGCCAATCTCGGCGCTCTCCTGGCGCAGGTGTGTTCTGGGCCTTGGAGTGGCTGAAGCATTGGGCAGAGCAAGGCTCGTCGGTTTATGTCATGGGACAACATGGCGGGGACAGTGAGAGAGCCAAATCTAGGCCCAAATGCAAACAATCATCATGTAGTGGATGATACTTGTTGTTGTTGAAGTCTTCGGCTGTTTGTTCCCGTTGCGTTTTGGCATTCATACTCTTTTTCCTAGAATGTTTGCTACGGGTGTGTGCAGTGCGCAGCCTGGGGTTACCCGGTAGTGTTTAAAGGAATCTTAGATGTCACTTAACCTAGTTCATTCTGGCCCATTGTTTGAGCCAGGGGGTTTCTGGCAACGCACGCTTCTTTGGAGAACAAGCTGTATTAGCATGCTACTGGCCAGCCTCCTTAGTGTTGGGTTCTAAGTGTGGATCCAGTTTTACAGCTGTGTCGAATTTGGAGCTTTACAAGGTCACTCCTCTTGCAGGCCGCTTGTTGGTCTACCTGGACATGCACGCGCATGCGCATACCCGTGGCTGCGTGCTTTATGGCAATCGCCTGCAGGGCATGTCCCAGGCGCGTCCTGCACTGCCAGGAAAGTATTTGGTCGCTTTTCGCTTTTGCCTAAGGGGGCGGCCATCAACCTGCGCGAAGGGTTTGTTCAAAGGGAGCAAGACCATAATAGGCAGGTACAGAGGCCTACGAGATGCTTGCAAGTTTCCTGCACCGTGGATGCTTGTCAATCATTGTTTGAAAGAGTGTTCCAAGCAGCACGTTCCGACACGTACTTTTTTTGGTTGATGCAGGCGTGATACATGTGCTCCTCTAGCAGAACATACCACGGGGCACATCGTCCCTCCAATGTAGTGACACCGTGTACTTCGGGGTCCAGCCAGCCGGGCACAGAAGTGCACAAAGGGATTTTGTTTTTCCAGCTTGCACCTTCGATTATTTGCTCTTGGGCATGTCATGCCCAAGGTTTGGAACGTAGCCTTTGCGCGGCTTTGCGCGGTGAACGGGCCCCACTTCGACTTCGAAGGCTGCGAGTTCCCGCCAACCTCAGATAAGGCAGCGCGGCGGCCAGGGAATGATGGGGTGCACGGCTGAGCACATGTTCCAGTTTGTCACGACGTGCACCTTTGAAACATGCAGAATCAGAACAACTTGAGGAACGCTGATGGATGAGTTTAGAGAAGAAGAGAGACAGATACATTTCACAGAATGTCCAGCTGGTTGAAGTTTCCTGCTGGAAGATGTGTTGGACATGTCGCGTTAGGACGTTCTTTGTGGAGTAGTTTGTGTGGATTGTAGGTTTACTCTGCTTGGGAACCTTGGGGCTGTTTGCAATGTCACAATGTGTCGCTTGGTGGTTTCCAGCCATACCCAGAGTGTTGTGGGATTTGTGTCATACCCCTCAAGCTCAGTTTTCGCCATGGATCAACGAACCACTCGGGATGTACAAGTTCACTTATAACGGCTGTCTACAAGAGTCAGTCATCTCGTGCATTGAAGCCATGCCTTTGTCAGCCCACCGAAAGAGAAGGCCCCTTGCGTCGGCTGTTCCACGCTTCAGTTCTTCAGGAGCACGGCAACGAGGAGTCGTGTGGTCGGGCGTCTGTGGCGGCGCTGTGTGGGCTGAGTGTCTTGGCTCAAATTGGTTAGGTCAGGTTGCTTGGATAGTGGCCTGCACGTCGTCTGATGGAGAAAAGGAACGAAAGCAAGGATCCAAGTTCCTGGCAAGCAAGCAATGCCTGATATGATGGTTCCTTCCTTTTCGTTGCCAGTGTGGCTCATGTGCTCAAAGACCAAAGTAGATAAGTTTCTTGACTGGAGACTCCAAGCCTCAAAGCCCCGCCAAGCACGCAAACCCTCACCTGAGGTCATGCCTACACGTGCCTTGGTCAGCCAATATGCTATGCGTGTTTGGTTGGGGCTCTGGTTTGGACATGCTTTGCCAGATTGTTGAATCCATGTTTTTGCTCTTCATGTTATTTGACTACGGCATGATTCACTCTTCCAAACTCCAGAATTCTGGGCAAACCGTTGTGTGCAAAACTATCCAAGAGTAGCTGGCGGCTGATCTTTTGCTAGCGCTTGAGATGAGGCTGGAGTGCCACTACAGCGTCGGCCGGCAGGCGGGTGGATCAACAGTCCTTGTGTCCTGTCCATGTGCTTCAGCTTTGTTTGGCTGGCATAGCTCAACCATGCGCCCTGCGTGGTAGATGGTCATGGCATGTCTGATGGCTATCCAAGTAGGCACGTGTAACATAGCATACGCGACATCAGATACTAAGACGCCAGGCTATTTGAAGAACCGGTCCGTCCCAAGGAGCTAATCAGTTGGCGCCTTGACCACTAAGAAAGCAAACCGGGGTTGTTTCAGGCGCAGCATCTGCCATGAATAAACACGTTCGCGAGCGCAAGCCTGCTACTCCTGTTCAAGACCCAAGTTGACTCGAAAGGCAACAATTCGCCGACTTCGGTCGCTGGGCAAAGGATGGGCATTGCTGTTCGCACAAAAGTCACGTACCGGGTTTCAACGATTAAGCTGCAACTGTTTGGAGTTCATGTCAGTTTCGGCAGCCGGCCCAGCCTTGATAGCAGTGGCCTTCCGCCAGCTTTCCAGCGCCTTGGACAAAATGCTCATGAACATTCCTTCCAAGGTGCAGCTCTCACCTCACATACCGTCTCAGTGAACCTGCAAGTTGCTGGCTTCATAGGTGTTAGGTTAGTTTGGTTAAGAGTAGATGGCCATTGTTTACATGGGTCTCATTCCTTTTACCAGGGCCATCTATTTTTCCAAGGGGACACCTATGGCTGGTTTCCCTCTTTCTTTGGGAATACCCGATCTGGCCAGCAATTGGGGTCCCCGCAGTTCAGCGCTCACAGCCTGTGAGGCACGGCCTGTGGAGGAGGTGCCACTACAGCGACCGCACCCAGGGATGCTGGTGCCGCCGCTTGGGCACGGAACAGAGATACGTGAGATGTGCTGTGGTTATTTGCCCACTCGCTTGCTTGCTCTTACTTGAGATGGTTGCTTGTACTTGCTAGATGGTTTGTCGAAAACCCTTGCGTAGCTGTCACATGCAACTAACGCCAGGTCTTCACTCGTTTGGGTCATCCTTCATTCGCCCAGCGGTACTTGCATGTTTCATAGCCGCAGGTATTGCAAAAATGCCTTTGACCCAGAGTCTCACTCTTTGTCACTCCACCAATAATTTTATGTACCCATTTCTCGGGAGCTGGCTGACCCGATTCACGGATGCTCCTAATGTTAACGTGCAAGATCAGAGTTCCCCCTCATGTTGAGTTTCACGATCAGTCAAATACTGAGAAGTGCGCTATGACTCGGCTGGGCTCCAGGGACGATGTTACGATACCAGAAGTTCGGATACCTCTTGCAGGCAGTCGGACAACATCAGTCTGTTTGAGCCAACAAACGTTGTCTTTTGAGATGATGGCAACTGGCAGATTCTTCACCCCAGACCTCGGCAAGACCAGAGTGGCGAACGGCAGCTGGAGGCGTTGTGTCAAAGTCCTCCCCTTCGGGTAGGCAACTATCTTGAGCCCTGGGAATGGTTTGCTTCTGTTTGCACCGAGACCTTGATGGCTGTCAGAGCTAAACAGCATGATGGAATGCTAACTAGGCCAGAGATGCCGCGCTTCTGGTAGCCAGGTCGCGCTTCTCAACCGCCGTTGTTTCAATCTGGGGAGGGCGGGCGGGGTCAGCACTTCGATCCCAGAATCTCGATGCAGCGCCGAGGTTTCTGTGTCAGGCCAGAAGATGGGCCGTGGGGACGCACATGGGTGTTTCTGACAATAAGAGAGTCCAGAGTTCTGGGACAGGTGCATGTCCTGCTGCTGGTTCCCCTTAAAAGTATCCCAAAGGAGGTCCACCATTTTGAGAAACAGCCACATTGGGGGAGGGGACAGAACACCCACCTCGCAGGGTCCCAGACTTTGAGACAGGGGCACGATGATTGCCATTGCTACAGCGTAGCGAAATTCCCAAGATGGTAAAGAGATGTGCTGCTTACGGGACATGGTCCCAACCAGTTTCATATCAATTGCCTACAGTGCTCAACTTGGACACTTGCCCATGTTTATGGGGTTCGGGGGCTGAGCTTGTTGGGCACACGTTGGAGGTGCATCAAAGCTTAGTGCAGGATACTGTTTAAGGTTCCAGCAGTCTTCCCAGGGCCGCTTGTTCATGTGTTCATGTATTCTGTATTAGCATACGATACTACATTTGAGAATGGTCGTTTCAGGAATGTCTGCTGCTTTGTCAGCTCGACGTAGGTTGCCTTCAGGACAAATCCACCTTACTGTTGGTTCTCTTTAGATTTTACTGATCTTACTGACGACCGGCCGCAGCAGTTTGTTTATTGGATGCCAAAACCATTTGTACAAGAGGCTGGCTCGACTTGCAAAGCTCACAAGCTCGCGCACGCTCCAAAGTGTGTGTTGGTGTGTGTCTGCGTGTCTCTGGGTACGTGGGTACGTGGGTGCGGGTGCGCGGGTGCGTGGGTGCGCGGGTGCGCGGGTGCGCGGGTGCGCTTGTGCGCAAGTGCATGGGTGCGTGGGGTGGGTGGGTCGGTTGGGTGGTTGGTTGGTTGGCTGGCTGGTTGGTGGGTTGGTTGTTTGGTTGTTTTGTTGTTTGGTTGTTTTGTTGTTTGGTTGTTCGGGTGTTTGGATGGTTCTTTGGTTGTTTGGTTGCTTGTTTGATTGTTTGTTTGATTGTTTTTGTGCTTGCTTGTTTGTTTGTTTGATTCTTTGTGTGCTTGCTTGCTTGTTTGTTTGAGTGTTTGTCTGTGCCTGCTTCCTTGCTTCCTTGCTTCCTTGCTTCCTTGCTTCCTTGCTTCCTTGCTTCCTTGCTTCCTTGCTTCCTTGCTTCCTTGCTTGCTTGCTTGCTTGCTTGCTTGCTTCCTTGCTTTGCTGCTTCCTTGCTTTGCTTGCTTGCTTGCTTGCTTGCTTGCTTGCTTGCTTGCTTGCTTGCTTGCTTGCTTGCTTGCTTGCTTGCTTGCTTGCTTGCTTGCTTGCTTGCTTGCTTGCTTGCTGGGTGGGTGGGTGGGTGGGTGGTGGGTGGGTGGGGTGGGTGTGGGTGGGTGGGTGGGTGGGTGGGTGGGTGGGTGGGTGGGTGGGTGGGTGGGTGGGTGGGTGGGTGGGTGGGTGGGTGGGTGGGTGGGTGGGTGGGTGGGTGGGTGGGTGGGTGGGTGGGTGGGTGGGTGGGTGGGTGGGTGGGTGCGCGGGTGCGCGGGTGCGTGCGTGCGTGCGTGCGTGCGTGCGTGTCTGGGTGTGCGGTTGTGCGTGCGCGTGTGCGTGTGCCGTTCGTGCGCGTACAGAAAGGTGCCATATGGCGTGTACGAGTGGGAGAGCATTGGTGAGGCAGGGGCTGTTGCGGAGTGGCTCGCCCGATTGTGGGTGTTGATCCAGTTTTTTTGAGCTTTTCGCGCTTACACAAGTCGGTGGCGGATGTCAGATGCACTATCGCAATCATGCATGTATACTCATGGCAACACAGGATCGCCCTTGTCCTCCTTGCAACACGCTTGGCCTTGACATATTCACGCAATCCAACCGTCTACCCTCTGCGCGGTTCTTCAAGTTGAAGCAGCCACTACGTGACATGATCGCAATGCTTTCTGGAGTCGTCCCTGATTGAGCCCCCCTCACTATGGCATGTGTTTTCCAGTCTTCAGCGGCTTCTGGAACAGGAATGTCCATGACATCGGCTCAATTTGTGCAGGTGGTGAAAGTACTTCTGTAGTTATCCACAAAGTCTAGGATGCCCGGAGATTCACAACCGATTTGTTTGAAGCCGAGTGGCCCCAGCCGTCAAAATGTGTAGTTGAAGCTTTGTTTGCTTGGGCTGAGGCAAGCTGAACCAGTGAAAGCACGATACCGCGATGTTGTTGAGTTGAGTTGTTTTTCGCAAAGTGAGGGGCTTCCACTGTTTGTTTTCAAGCCACAGAGCCCAACATTTGGAGACGTTTAT